CCTGAGGAGCTGTTTTGCTTGGCGTTTGTAGTTCTAAAAATAAAGTTAGTTTCTTTTGACAAGTGGCTCCTGAATTGTGCCCAGCCAGACTGCGGCAATGACTAAACATATTTGCCTTGATTTGAAATATTCTCTCTGAGGACTTTGGGTTACACTCTCATTTATATTTCCTCTCCTGGATGCCTATACAGGATACAGTCACCCAACAGCCTCTGGACCAGTTAGCCATCACCTCAGGACGTGAGCATGTGTACATGTGCATGCACACATGTGAGCGCACATGTTTGGGGCAGAGACAGAGAGAGATAAAATTTCCTGAGTCTGAATCTTGGCTCTCATGTTTTCTAGATGCATTCTAGGGCAAGTTACATATATTGTGTGTTGCTCAGTTTCCTAATCTGTGATTCATTTCTTAAAAGCACTTGTGCAATAAGTTTGCTGTGTGATTCAAATCCTATTCACTAAATATTTCCAGTTGCCACCCCAACCCTTTGTGATAATATAGAAGAATTGTATTTCTCGACCCTTTTGTAAGCTAGAAGGGTAATGAAGGGAGTTTCAGCCAATAAATTGTGAGCAGAAGAATATCACTTCAGTGCTGATACCATATTCTCTAGAACTTTCTTTTCCTCTGTCACATAGGGCATGTTTCAGATATTGGCTGCCTGGGTGGCAGAATAAGGACAATGTGAAGCAGGACTGCCACCCCTATAAAATTAACAGGCAGCAAGAGAGAAAAAATAGCCTTGTCGTGGTAAACCACAGAAATTTGGAGATTATTTGTTACGCCATAACCAAGCCTGTAAGGACTTAAATAGCTGTCATAAAGACTAAGAAAGTTCATAAAAATTTCTTGACTCTGTAGTTAATGCATCAAAAATAGTAAACAAAAGTTGTTACCATTTGTATGACTGACTCTTTTTATCATTATTTATTGGACATGGAGGTGTGCAGATACACCTGTTTCTTTTGCTACATCAAATAGTTGAATAACCTTGCATTCTTGGCCCTTGGGAAATGAAGTAAGGAATACCTCTAAACATCTCAGGTCAGTTTAAGTGTAAAATCTGTTGAGCTGAAAAATTTCCAACAGGGTGTTCTGACATTGGCATCACACATGGACTTGGTAAATATGTCCCAAGCCCTTTAACAGGCAAGTCTTGTTATAAATTTAACTTCCATGAAGTAGGTTAAAGTGTAGGCAAAACCAGAGAAGGTTCCTTTGGCTAGTGCTGAGAGACAGAGGAGAGGCTGTGTTGGATCATTTTTTCCTACAGTCTGAATGATTGTTGGTCTGTGGGGATCACAGAAGACCTCCAATTAATTATTACTGGGGAACATGAAATCATAAACAAAATTCCTTATAATAAATTTTTCAAATGAGATCACATGTTTTATTTACAGTACTGGCCCATTTTGGGCTTTAAATCTATGAGAAAAACCAAACATGCTTTTTTTCTTTCTTTTCTTTTTTTTTTTTTTTTTTTTTTTTTTTTTGGTCAAATAGGATAAAAAGTACTCAATAGCCTTCTTTCTCTCCTTGCCAAGGAGGACATGCGCTCTGTATAAGAAGAAGGCAGGCCCAGGCTCTGTCAGCTGGAAGAGTAAATTCCCTTTTTTGCTTTGTAGAGAAAGATTTAAATGCTAATGATCCTTTCACATGACTGGGACAGAGGGGAGAAAAACAAAAAGTCCTGCTGGGGTTCAGATATTTTGCTTCTGAATTGAGCATAGCGCCTGAGTAGAAGATAGAACATAGGCAAAGTCACAACGTGTAACCTTCTATAACCAGCAGCTACCATCTTTAACTTAATCACATTTAATCATACTTAATCACATGTTCCTATAGCTAAAACTCAGAAAACTTTGTTCTCAGCCTTCTACAGAGAAAGTGAATAGGCTATAAGGGCTGGCTGAAGGTCTTCTTTGTACTTTGTCTATCTATAGCTTAGCAAGGTCATTTGTGATCTTTGGGGAAGAGGTACCTTAAATAAACTCACACCAGTCCTCACAGCCACAGATCTGGTGGGCTAGGAAATGCCATTATCAAACTGACTATAAAAATCTATTTTCTGATAAATATTCATAATGAATCAGAGACTATAAATTTATTGGGCCATTAAAAACTCTGCTAGGCACCAGTCTGGGGCACAATCTTGCAGGATAGGTTATTTTCCAGTACGTGGTATAAACATTAACCAAACAGAGGTATATTGTGCCATTTCCCTGTGACTGTTTTCTGTGGTTGCTAAAAAAGCATTGCCATAGGTTTGGTGACTTAAAAAGGCAGAAATTTATTCTCTGAATTCCAAAATCATTATCACTGGGTCAGAATCAAGGTGTTACAGGGCCATGCATCCTCCAGAAGCTGGGGGCGGGGGGATCCATTTCTTGCCTCTTCAAGTTCCTGGTGGCTGCAACATTCCTTGGTTTGTGGTCCCACCCTTCCAATCTCTGCTACCATCTCCTCATTGTCTTCTCTTCTGACTGCATCTCTTCTTTCTGTTAAAAGGATTCTTGTGATGGCACTTAGGCACCCTGGATAACCCAAGGTAATCTCATCATCTCAAGATCTTTAACTTAATCACATTTAAAGACACTTTCTCCATATAAAGGAACATTTACCGGTTCCAGAGACAGGAACTTGATATTTTTGAAGGTCATCATGGAGCCTACTACAGTCCCAATAGTTACAAAGTATGAGCCCAAGAACAACAGGTGACTCTGCTGTAGAATTTATGGTTTTCACTAACACAATTCTGTTGGATTAATGGTCTCATGGAAAGAACATGAGAAGTACTTCACCATGCCTAAAGCCTAAAGTTATAACTGTCACAGTGTCACATTGGACTCTCCATGCAAGTGGAGCCACAGGTAAAGAAATGAGTTATTATATTGAAGAGACCTAGGTCACTACTATAAAATGGGAGTGGGGTGAATGTGACTAGAATTCAGAAGATTCACAGAGCACTGTCTTTCCGTTCTTCCATACCCAATAGCAATGGTGAACAGATGGTTGCAGTGTTCAAGGCCCAACAAGAGCAAGGCTACTAGAGTTTCAGACTCCTTAGAAATGAAAAACTTAATCTCCAAAATGGGCAAATAACCCTGAGTGGTTAAACTGTTTACCAAGGATGATGGAAATCTAAAATGGATGAAAGAAGAAAGAGATGATAAAGGTTATTTCAAAACACTGTGGTGATCAGAGCTCATTCAACCAGGCCTCCTGTATTAAGCGTTTTAAAGAATTTGAATCAAGAAATCACTTTGAAGACTCAGTCAACAGTGAAGTGATGAAAGACACAAGTTAACCTGAGCTATGCTGACAGGGGACTTCAGATGTCTTGGGCTTTGTTGTGGATGCTGCAGGAACCATGTAGGCCCCTGATTGATAACTACAGCCCCATTTCTTCAGCTGTGGAGAGTATATGCTGGTGGCTTCTGCTGAGACCATCCCCTGGACTCGCCAACTGTGGAAGGGAAAACCTAGTTTATGTACTCTGCCAGGGCAAGCCATATCCAGTGTCTGGTTGATATGAGTGGATCAGAGGGAGGCTCCCTGTCCCTACTTGGAATATCTCTGAAGGATCATCCCAGCCTTAGAGACCCTGCTGGGATTGGTCAAAGCTCTATTGCTAGTGCACTGTCATTCAATTTCTGCCTCTGTCCAATTCGGTAGTTACATTCATTATCTATGCTGAATACCTGTCCTTTGCCCCTGACTCACTTCCATGCAATCTCAAATTCACCTCAAGCTAGCTATGTCCCACCTCAACCATGTCCTGCATATCTTTTTACTCTGTGACCCAGGGTCCATACAAGCTCCTTGGTCTTTGCACTCACTTATACAGAGCCTAGAAGTACAGAAGAGCTAATAACCTCCAGAGGGCAAATCCCAAATGAGGAGGTGTGGGAGCCAGGACACAAATGTTCCAGCCTCCTATACTTCAAGTGAACTGGTATGTGTTCTAGATGCTGTTTGAGAGCCTGTGGTGGAATATAGCTAATGAGGCCTGGAAAGCAACCTCAATAATGTATTATTATTATTATTATTTGGTTATGGGGATTGACCTCAGGAGCACTCAACCACTGAGCCGAATCCCCAGTTCTATTTTGTATTTTATTTAGAGATAGGATCTCACTGAGTTGCTTAGCATCTCTCTTTTGCTGAAGCTGGCTCTGAACTCATGATCCTCCTGCCTTAGCCTCCTGAGCCACAGGGATAACAGGTGTGCACCACCACACCCAGCAATAATATATCCTTATGTGGACTTCTCCTCTCTGATCTGCTTACTGGGTTTATCTCCCATAACTCTGGAAACTAAGTCCTATTTTCAGGTTCTGCTCAGAGAGAGACTAAACTTCAAAATGACATCATCAGATAGGTGATTGTTTTATCCCCTATAGATTCATCTTTCTCAAAGCAAAGAAATTTGGTGGGGAGGTACAAATTCTGCTTGTTGAGTGCATAACGAAGGAGAAAATTGCCACATAGTAAAACCTACTATGTTCTAGGACCTGCATCAAAGAGATAGCAATGAGGTAAGATAAAAACTTTCTCTCAGCAAGCTTGAAGTTCAGAAAGTGCGAAGTGGCCAGAGTAGAAAGTAGAGTTGAGCTACACATCCAAAAGTGATGTAGGTAGAGACATTGGTTTCCTGTCACTAGAAAATCAAGAGGGGCTTCATAGAAGAGGTGGCATTTGAAAGACAGAACAGAGGTTCTGCAGGGTTGGAGGAATAGAATGAGCAAAGACCCAGGAATAAGAAAAGACCAGATTGGTTAAGATCATTGGAAAAGAGAAATCAGGGCATATTTTTTTCTGTGAGATATGGTCTAGTGATAGTGCTGGCATTGACAAAGCATTTAGGACACACTATAGCCACTTAATATGATGGGGAGAGCTATCTTGACATATGACCCAGTTGGTTTTTCATTGGCTTCATGAAAGAGTAAACAGGGTACCCTACAGGCAAAATAATCAAAAGAGCAAACATTTATTGAAGACACCAAATACTGATCTGCACATGCAGCTTTTAATGTAATCTTCACAGAAATCTTACAAGATTGGTACAAATGCTATCTCTTATTTCTTACAAGCAAGAAATCAGAGATTTGAAGTAGGCCAAGCTACTTGCCCTCCAGGTCATAGCCACCAAGTAGCAGAGCTATTAAAGTGACTGATGCAGTATGGCTCCATGCCAGCATTTGACCACGATGCTGGCTGAGTGAAGCAAGCCTAGCAATCAGCAAGAACATTCCTGATACCAGAGTTGGAGAACATTCCTAATACCAGAGTTCTCTATCTTTCATGGAAAAGTAGAAGAAAGGCCTGATCCTTCATTACAGGACCAGGGGAGGAGACTAGCACCATTGGGCATTATCATAAAAGTTCTCTAACCTTCCCTAGTTTTGAACTACTCAATGGGCCACATACCCCACTTACCTGTGTTCAAGCCTATGAGCAGGGCAGGAGATCTCCATCTTGGGCTAGGATTCCATCACTCACAGCCATTTTCAATCATTGCTATCACTGGGTTTGAATCTCTAAGTTTCCATCTCTTCAAATGCCTGTATCTTTAAGTAGCCCCATGAAGATATTAATTTACTTATGGAGCATCATCCAAGCATAGATTCAGCTACTCCATGATAGTTACTCATTAATAATAACACCAATACCCACAGGCACCTTCTTATTTTATTCTTAAAACAATCTTGTGAGATAAATGTAGTATCATTATCTCCATATTTCAAACAAGGAAGTTGAGCTACAAAGAGGAAATGATAACAATGTAAAGTCACTCAGTTGCAATGAGTTGAGGGAATTGATGATTCCATTTCATTGAGTCAACTTGAAAGCACCATTAAGTTGCTGCAAACCCAGCTGGGGCAATCCTGTGCTCTGTGGACTATGGAAGCTTCTCTTGTCGAGCATCACCCCGGCCAGCAAGAACCACAGTGATACTCTTATTTACAGAATGCCTTTTGTGAGCCTAGTCCCTCCTCCTGCATTGTCATTTCACCCCTACAATGATCTCTTAAGAAGATAGTTATTGCTGTGTCCATTTTATAGATGAAGAACCTGAGTTCAGACAGAATTATTTATTAAGTTCACATATTTGTCTTCAAAGGGCTGATAGTCTAGTCAGGGAGATAAACACAATTTTTTTTTAAAAAAATGAAGAAATAAATCCAGCATAGCCAGCTGATTGTTAAGTGTTGTAAGACCACCAAGAGGGAACAACACTAGCAGGAGGTGGTGTAAGGTTGCCCAGAAAGTTCTGGAAAGGTGTCACAAAGTGGCATTGGCTGGAGTTTCAAAGGAGAGGAGGCATAATCTAGGGAGGAGGGAAGTGGAGAGAGCGTACCAAACAGTCCAGGGAAGGATGGTCCAGTGAGCCAGTGGTGGGCATAGGCTGGCATATTTGGGAAGATGAGTTGGCAGCTATGGTAAGAGCACTGGGTGCAATGAGGGAAAGTGAGAATGGAGAATGATGCCAGGGTCAGACACCAGAATACCCTGCAAGTGTTGCCAAGAAGTTTGGATACTATCCTGGAAATGTTGGGAAACTTTTCAAGACCTGGAGGAATGGGGTAATATTAACATACACATCATCCCAGTGAAGGGAGGATGCAAACAGAGATGAAGAGAGTAACAACAACAACAACAACAAAAATATTTCAGTCAAATCAAAAAGTCCTTATGATGGCTTGGGATGTGCATATAGTGACTATGAGCAAGGGCTTCAGAGATGTCTCCAGTTTCCATATTGGAAGATTAGGTGGATAGATGGTGGCATTCATTGAATTAAGCAGGAACAACTTGAAGTGGGAAGGTATGATGGATTAGCTGAGTTTGAGGAGCCATGGGACTCCCAGGGGAAGATGTCCAGGAGGCTGATGAAATTGAGAAGTGGGAGAGATTAATAGAAATTAATTTTCTCAGAAGGCATTGCCACTCATTCCTTAACTCCTCTGTGTTAACCATGTGGCAGCCACATATTGGGTCTAGTGCTCAGTACTGGGAATCCACAGGTAATGCCAAGTCCTGCTCAAGGAGCTCACATTCTATAGGAGAATGGACCAGCAAGTGTCCTGCCATGTCAGAGGGGCCAAGACACATACCAGGTTTAGTGGGGAGCATGAAAGAAGTAGTGGCTGAATCTACTGTGTGGGGAATGGTCAAAAAATGCTTTAAATAGGAAGGATCCGAGATATGAATCTTGAAGAAATAGAAGATGTTCACAGGCATACAATGCAGGGACATTCCATATAGAAGGGACAGCAGTGATAAGCATATAAGGGTACAGAAGAACCTGAGACCTGCAAGTAATTCTGTGTCTAGGGGACAGGGAGGTAGAGAGGAGAGGGATTATGAATTATGACACTGATGAGATAAACAGAGATCAAAAGGTGGAGAATCTTGAAAGCCATGTTAAGTGGAGTGGAATATTCTTTGCACAGTGTTATCCACTAAAGAAATTTAAGCCAGGGAAGTGACA